CCTAATGGTAAGGAGGTGTGCCCAGAGATAACGGACTCGCCCACCCGGGTTCGAGTCCTGAATCTGGGGTCCTCCTATCATTTTTTCCTAATATTTGTAAAACGTATTCTGAGAATACGTTTTACATTTAATTAAACGTACAATTGATTAAGTGTAAAATGAATTCTCATGTTAAATATATATATAAAAAAAAAACCTGCTTCTTCTTCTTTCACGCGAACAGAAACCCGAACACACACACACAGAGAAGAGAGAAACAGAGCGAGAGCGAGCGAGAAAGAAGCTTCGTGGTCGGAAAATTTTGCCGAACATTCGCCTAACTATCACCGCCGGACCTCCTTCCCGTCTATTATGTACGTTTCTTCTATTAGGCTTCTATTTTTTCAAATTTTCAATCATTTTTGAATTAGGGTTTTTTTTTTAAAATTGAATATGTTGTATGAATTATATAAATGTATTGTGATTGAGATATGTTGATGGATTGTTTGATTATTTTGTTTGATAAATTGATGGGTTATTTGGAAATTGATTAGGGTTTTGTAGTTTGTTTGGAAATATATGATTTGAAGGTGTNAAAATGGCATCTTCGTCGTCCTCACAACCGCAACGCTACAATGTACATCCCGGTCCGAGGGATTCGTCCGTTTTATATTTTCAGTACCGCCACCGGTCAAGTGCGCTATTCGATGATATCCCGGGATGTCGTGACGGCGTCATTAAACTCTGCCGTTTTGACACTGAGTTCTGGAAGGCGTTGGAGCACTAGCATCCCAGTGTTTGGGAGGTCATCGACAAGCGGGTTTTGTCCCGCGTTTCGAATGGGCAGACTTATGACCGACAACAGCCTCATCACGTGTCTGGTAGAAAGGTGGCGACCGGAGACGCATGCCTTCCACTTTGACTTCGGGGAGGCCACGATCACGCTGCAGGACGTACAAGTCTTTTTTGGTCTCCCGATCAATGGAGAACCTTGTTGGGGAGCGATTCAAGAGCGCACACCCCGAGACTGGCAAAAAAATTGTTCTGATGCCCTAGGGTTCGAGCCCTATGTTCAGGTAAATTTTTTCTTACAATTTTGTTTTTTTATTTTATTTTATTTATGATTACTCTATTTATTAATTTTTAATATATATAAACCACTCTCAGGAGGCCGACGAATCGGTTCAAGACCCCAAGACTTGGGCCATTACATGCCAGTATTTGAGGACCTATGCGTTAGAAACAGAGTGCAACAGAGAGCTAACCGATGAAAACCACACCGGCGAGGGCCCTTATACTCTGGTGCATCGGTAGCTTCTTCTTCCCCGACCAGAGGGCCAATGGAGTGAACCTGTACTGGTTGCAACATTTGTTCGACATCGATGCGATCAAGACGTACAGTTGGAGTTCGGCGGTCCTGGCCGGAGTGTATAGAGCGCTCTGCACGAGCTCCAAGGCCGAGGAAAAGTGGATCAAGAACTGTGTCCAATAGATTCAGGTCAATTTATTTGCTTGTTATTTCAAAATTCATTTTTTTATTCTAATTTAGACTAATATCTAATAACAAATGAATATGTCGATATGTGTAGGTTTGGGCATATGAACGTATCCCTCGTATTCGCCCAAGAATGAGGGATACGAACTTTGAGAGAGTCGCTGGTTGTCCCTTAGGTGGAAGGTAATCAAATTTATTTATATTTAATACTTAGATTAATTTCATTATCAAATTTTGCGATTATAAAGTGTTTTTTTTTTACTATGATTTTTAAGGTGGGTGGGAAGGAGGAACACGACACACCTGGACAAGGGAACAGGCACCACCCGGGATCAATTGGCAGGGCTGACAGAGGCTGATGTAAGATTATTATTAAGTCCTATTGATTATTATTTTTATTTGTTGTTTGTTTTAATTTTTTTTTAACTTAATTCCTAATTAATTTTTTTTTATATTTTTTTTTACAGTTCGATTGGCTGCCCTATCAGTGATACCTGCAAGGGAATGCTCTCCCGGCATAGTGTACAGAAGGTTCACACCTCTGGATGTATAGGGGGTGGATCTTCAACTAGAACGTCCGTGAACTCCACCTGCCTGATAAGGTCCTCCGTCAGTTCGGGTGTCGGCAGTCCACCCCCGAACCTTCGATCATTACGACTGAGACCGAATGGGAGAGACACCACCGAGGCCAGGGAATGACTGGGAGGCCAGTATTTGATTGGGTCGCCTTTCACGGAGAGCTTGGGAATGCTTGGGTCGAACATAGAGACGAAAATGTCATCCCAGTCATCGCTGTGGAGCCATTGAGCCTGAGGCGGGTTACCTTGATTGGTTTCACAATATCACTGTGAGACTACTCGGTGACCCTGCCAAGTATGCGGTTGCCCAACCGGACAGAGGCTTTCAGCCACTTGCCGAGCAGGGGAAGTGCGATATAAGTAATATAAATTTGTGTTTTTTATTCCCTTATTATTATTATTATTATTATTATTATTTTGTTTGTGTCTCATTCTAATTATTTTGAATTTAATTTTCAGGCTACCACCATGGAGGGAGCTTTTCACACGTTATCTAACGTAGACCACCTATATCATACACTCCATCCAGATATGTTGGCGGCAGTCCAACAGGCCAAGAGCCTTCTATACAGTTCTCTGACTGTCGGAGGCGGAGAGGTCGCATAAGGGACGTCGTCGAGCCAAGTTCTATCGCAGGAGAGCTATGTCCGATCCCAAAGGACGCAGTCACACCGGGCGAGGCATCAACCTGCTGCCAACATTGGTGGAGGTAGAAGACGACGTGACCGCCAACCCGCTGCCGACACCGGGCCTCAGTAAGAAGAAGAAGGTGAAAATTTTTAACTTAACAAAAAATAATTTTATTTATTTTATTTATTTATTTATTGTGATTTTTAAAAAAATGATTTACTCAGGTGAAGAAGAAGAAGAAGAACCTATCACGCCCACAGCATCGTCTTCTTCACGACGACCACAACGTCGGATCAGCCACCGACAGCGCAATCCTACGAATCGATACACTCGTAATTAGTTTGTGTTGTATTCGGGGAATTTTGTGAACATATTTGTTTTGTTTTTCCATTCTGTATACTGATATTTGTGTTTTGAATAAATTATTGTGGTTGACTTTTTGTATATAGTGTATGTTGGATTATTTTGGGCGAATTGATTCATATTAGTTGGTTGAACAGATTGTGAAATGGATCCAAAAAAATATTTTGCATTTTTTTGCAGAGAAAATCGTATTCTAGGAATACGTTTTATGAAGAATTAGGGCAAAATCAATTTTTAAAATCAATTTTTGAGGAAAAAATTGATTTTACAAAGAAAACGTATTTGCAAAATACGTTTTATATTTTCAAAATTTATTTTCTGCAGAAAATTTATTTTTAATAATTTTAAAATTAATTTTTTTTATAAAACATGTTTCAAGAATGCGTTTTATAATTAAAAATTAATTTCGAATATAAAACGTATTTCAATAATACGTTTTCATTTTTTTGACTTTAAAACGTATTTCGGCTATACGTTTTTATTTAATTTAATTAACTTAATTACAGTAATTATGTTAATTAATTATTTTTAACTAAACCGTATTCTCTAAATACGTTTTACTAGGAAGAACGTATTCTTGTAATACGTTTTTTAAAGAAAAGCATATTCATAGAATACGTCCTTTTTATTTTAGTCCACTCCTTTTTTTTTTGTCCACTTATTTTTTTTTATTTTTAAATAAATAAATAATTCAAATCGTCCCTTATATATATAAAAGGGTTACAATTTCGTTCTTCATCTGCCAGAAAATTTGAAAGTCAATGAATTTACACACATGTCATCTAAGTGTAGCTGGAAAAACACTTGTGTCCTTAAAGATGGCCAAAATTGTTTATTTGGAGCCTATGTGGATTTTATTATTTTTCAAGTCATTTATTTCAATAAATCTTAAGAATATCTTTTCTTATATTCTTTTTAACCGATTTTGATTGGTCAGATAATTTTTAACTCAGAGTTCAACTAAAATTTAATTGAATTCAACTCTCCTCAATATTATCAATATAATTAATAATATAAATCTATTATCTTCACACATCACATCAATTTTAATTAGTTATTCATTGGTGTAGAATAATATCATTATTATTATTATTATCACTAGTACTTATTATTATTATTATTATTATTATTATTATTATTATTATTATTATTCTTACTATTATTATTATTATTTAATAGATGTCTTAGAGAATAAGTTAGGAATTTAATATTATTGTTTAGTATTTAGTAAGGGATCTTGTCTTGTTGAACAAGTTAAAGTCTAGGGTTAGGAGCCTTATTTAAAGGGTTCTTCTACTTTGCTATGAGATGGTTGATTATTGAATGAAATTGAGTTTTATCTGATAGTGTGAGTTCTGTATGAGAGAGTATCTCATTTATTCTTCACACTCGTACGCTTCCCTACATCAGTTGGTATCAGAAGTAAGCACGATTCACGATGCTGTCGCGACGACAAGATCCTGCACACGACAGACGTGTCGCCGCCATCTACAACCTGAGCCGCCGGACCGAGTGGTTTGGCCGCCAGCTCGAGAAGATGGGTCGTGAGATTGCAGATCTGTCCGCGGAGATCGGGAACATACGTCTAACTATCTGTACCATGGTTTGGAACAAGCAAACATACTGTGACGCCGGCAACCGGGGCGAGCGCGGGGGAATTCGTGGAGGAAGTGGAGGCCGTGGTCCAGACGGGGTGCCCCGCCAGAGATCTCTACAACCACCGTCCAGCGACGAAGACGGTGAGGAGACAATCTCGGAGGTGAATCCCTTTGATGATTTTCCAACCCCGCACGTCGAGGCTGACCCCTTCGCTGCATACGGCGGCCGTGACATACGGCGACGGGGCCCGGTCCTCGTGGATGGCGACGATCAACGCTACGACAAAGGCAGACGCGAGGATGCTGCCTTCGCCGACGGATATTGTGCCTGACACGATTGGGGACTTGATCGCGAATATGGTCGATGGGAGGGCCTGTTTCGCGTTGACATCTCCGAATTCGACGGAGAGCAAGTTGACGGGCCATTGTACGATGGTCCGCCTGTGTTTGATGAAGGACCCGAGGAGGTGGAGGAGCCTCTTACTGGCAAAGTGGACGGTTTCTACGACGGTCCGCCGATCTTTGATAAGGAGCCTTCGGGGCTGAAGGATGAAGCTGGAACTATTGCTATCAAAACCGTTGAAGAAGACACGCGGTTATATATGTTGTAGCAGTTTCATGAAGGGAAGTGTGAGGTTGCTATTGTTGACGATGATGCACTTTCCAAATCGATTCTCGGAAACAAAAAATGTTATTTATTGGATTGTGGTTCCGAAGTATTTGTTTGGGTTGGCCGGGTAACTCAAGTGGAGGAGAGAAAAAGTGTCATTCGCACAACCGAGGATTTTGTGGCTCGCCAAGGTAGATCACAGTGCCGTTCAACCTTCGTGTTCGACCAGAAAAAACGACGGGGGTTTCCTACTATCGTTCGACACCACACGCCGGTCACGGGCGCGCATCGGCTTCGAGGGCGAAGCCTTCCGAACCGGGGGAGAATGATGTAGATTATTATTATTATTATTATTATTATTATTATTATTGGTATCTTGGAGAATAAGTTATGAATTGAATATTATTATAAGAGATCTTGTCTTGTTGGACAAGTTAGGTTTAGGATTAGAGTTCTTATATAAATGACTCCCTCTAGTTTATAAATCAAAGTCGATGGATACACTTGAACTTACCGAGCACCCAACTCTCATGATCTACAAATTGTTGCTGCCTGAGAAATAACCATGGTCGACATGAACTTTAATTTCCAATTGAAGCAAACATTCTTCTTGCAAACAATTTGACTTTTCAATTTTGGGTTTCTGAATTCGAGGTTTTTCCTAATTTTGGGTTTGATAGGGCTTTCGTGGTTGTGGTGGTGTGATGGCTAAGATCAGGCTAATGGTGGTGGTTGTGATTCACGATGGCGAGTTTTTGGTTATGAGGTTTCAAGCAATTTCGAGCGTCACTTGACCTCAGCGAACTCCGACGAATGTGCAAATAAGCTAGGTGGTTGACTTACATCCTCATTTTTTAAAGGTGGAGGACTTGGAAGACAGAGCTCGAGGAGGACAAAGGAGGGCCTAGGTGGCAGAGACCCTCGAAAAGGATTTCGAATGCGGTTGGGATGACGGGACGTCGAAACATGGCTATTGGAGAAGAAAGAAAAAAAAAAACAAATAATTAAATACTCAAATTAAATGAATTATTTATTTACTCTTTTTTATTTTATCTACTTAAATTTAATAATTTTATTTTCTTAATGATTTATCAATTTTTTCTATTGATATACCATTTTTATTATAATTTTATTTAAAAATAAAATATCAATTTCTTTCAACTTTTCTAGTGGATCGAGGACGAAATTGCAACATTTTTGTTTATATTTAAGACGATTCCAAAACCGTTATTCATAGAAAACTATTT